ACTGAGATCTCAGCAGTACTTAAATTCAACTTCCCCATGGTCTAGCTGGCATTTGCAGGCCAGCAGCTTCTAGTAATACACTTTTATTTAAATAATTGTGAATTTACTGAAGAATAGCAAGTAATGATTTGATTCGGAAACCCATTCACTGTAAAAGTGCTTTTGCTTCAGGCTCATAAAACCAAATGCCTTGCCTTGGGATAATAAGTGAGCGTGTAATCTAGGGGAGGTGAGAAGAAACATAGTGTCACATGCCCATTCTGCACTTGTTCTCAAAGCAGACCTCTACTATGCTTGGAACTAGAGTGTTATTTAAGGAAATTATGCAAAACTTCTGAGGTTCTCTTTTTAATTTTTCTCTTATTGTGTGCTGTTATAGTCATGCAAAACAATATATGTAACACATAAGTTATTCAACCTAACAATAGAATGAACTCTCGGGACCAGCAGTTAGCGTAATGGCTATGTCGCGGGACTCCTACGTAGTCGACCGCGGTTCGAGTCCCGGACCCGGTGGCTTAAACTCACGCCAGGTGCGTGTGCGTGTGTGCCCAGGATCCTGAGAGGAGAATGGAGGAGAAGAGATTGCGGCGTGGCCATCCCCCCGGGGGGTGATTTCCTGCTTTCTGTCTCTCTGTCTCTCTCTATCTGTCTGGCGAGCGCACGTGCCCTATAGCAAAAAACCTCTCAAAAAAAAAAAAAAAGAATGAACTCTTATGACCTCTCATTAAAAAACAAACATTGACAACACCATGGCATCAAACCTGCTAGAATGGAAGCTCTGTAAGGACATGGATTTTTCTTCATTTTGTTCACTATTATATCCTCAGGAATTAGAATGGCATCTAGTATATAGTAAATATTTGATAAATATTTTTAAATGAGTTTATAAATATTTTATCCTTATTATTCATTTCATCACCTCCATCCTTCCCTTAGAAGTAACCACTATCCAGATTTAGGATCTATGATTCCCTTTAATTTTGATGTTTTGTTAATATATATTCCCAAATAAACTATTATTGGTTTTTATTTCTTTTTGAACTTTATATAATGGAATCATATTGTATATATGTTATTGAAAGTTATGTCTTTTACTGCTTTTATGACTTCCAATATTTTGATCCCTACCATAAAGTGTAGAGAGTCGGTATATATTAACTGGATACATACAATATCTTTCTTTCATATCCTGGCTTGCTTCACTCGGCAATAGCAGTGAAAATAGTTATAGATGCTGAAGACAGTGTAGAATAGGGCAGGGGGATAAGGGAAGAGTATAGATAAGGATAGCAAGAAAACAAAAAGAGAGGCATAACATTAGTGGGACACAGAAATGGTTAATTACCTTTTGATGATAACATGTCTAGTGTTCTCAACTGGACTGGTCTGAGAAGTATTTCATGTTGGGTAGATTCTTTATACACACCAAAATATATATAGTCACTGAATGTATAAAAAGTAATGAAAATAAATAATAATTATCTGAAAAAAAAAGTTATGTCTTTTACATACTAGCATTTGAGATTCACCTAAATGTAGCTTTATTCAATTCTTTATAATTACTGAGTTGTATTTTTTTTTCCTAGACTTGCCATTGGGGTCATGTGCTTGCTAGAGAGAGACAGAAAGAAAGAGGGGAAAAGTGAGGAAACACCCCCCCCCCAAGGGCGATGCCTATGCTATAATCCCTTCTCAGTTCTCCTCTTGGGATTTTGGAGATGCACACATATGCACCTGGTGTGTTTTTCAAGCCACCAGGACCAGGACTCAAATTGTAAAGCCCACCATGTGGGATCCAGCCACCTTAACCCACACATCACTGACTGACCCTCTGAACTGGATTTGAGTATGCCATAATTAATTTATCCTTGTTCTCATCAATGGAAATTTATCATTTCTGTTTTCATAAATAAAATTGCCATGACCATTCCCATGTGTACCTCCTAGTGCATGCATGTATGAATTTCTCTAGAATATAAACCTGAGCAAGGGACTGCAGTTGAAATTTTGTTCACAGTATACAAAGGTCAGCCCATGAGTTAAAACTGCAATGTGCCCTTTGTCCACACTAAGCCAAGGGTAGTAGGAGTCCTGTTCAAAATTTTGAACTGTATGGTCAGGGATAGAGGGATATAGAAGAAAGAGAGAGAGAGAAAGAAGTAAAAAGAGAAACAGAAACTGACTTGGTGAAGCCAGGAGTTATTTCAGGCCTCTAGTCAAAGTGAGTTATAGTTAGTAAAATATCTTATTCTGAAATTTTCATTATTTCTCTTCCTCTTCTTTATCCTTTATAGTTATTTTCTTATAAGTTGCACTTTATTGAATTCATTTCCAGTAAATGAAATACTGATTTCTTTTTCAGTTTTTTATTGATTGTAAATTTGATTAGATTACCTTTATTTGTTTTTGTTTTGCTATAGGGCATAGAGACTGAAAAAAAGTGAGAAAACACCCCCGAGGTGGGATGGTCACACTGAAATCTCTTCTTTATTCACCTCTCAGGATTTTGGGTACCTGTGCACATGCACCCAGCATTTCTCAAGCCACTTGGTCTGGGACTGGAACCACACAGTCAGCCATGTTGGATCCAACTACTTTAATCACAATATTTCTGATTGTCCCTGATTAGAGTATTTTAAACAATTTCAAGTGTATTTTTAATTTTAGTGTGAATGAAAATTTCTTTCTTTAAAAAAATCTTTAGTAATAAGAACACTTAACATGAGGTCTATTCTGATAACAAAATTATAAGTGTTCAATATGTTCTTGTTAACTGTAGGCACAATGTTACACAGCAAATCTCTGGAACTTACTCATCTTGCTTCACTGAAACTTTATGCCTATTGAACAGTAACTCATTATTTCTATTATTTAACTTAAGGGCTTATGTTTTCTTCCTTACTTACTAAGGAAGAAGTACCTATAAAACATAGTAACTACATTCCTGTGGATGAGAGTGTAGGCAGTTGTCACCTATGTGAAACAGATGAATCCAGGAGGTCACCTGAGTTTTCTTCAATGCTTAAGCATAGGACATAAGAAAGACAGTACCATTGGCTAGTAAGAACCATGTTCTATTTTTTTAAGCTTGAATAAATTACTGTGGGACACTGAGAATCACCCTTTCATGAATGTTTTAGGTTTGGCTTTTTGGCTTTTCTCCTTCATATCCACCTGGAAGAACTCAGGCGTGGATCTTCTTAGAGATAGGCAGTTAGACAAGATGACTTCTGAATCTCCATCTTTGCCCAAGTAACCTTTGAGTCTTCTAAATGACCAAGTGTTTTTATAGTAGCCCAAAATAACTTTAGCATCATGGTACATCATTTCCCAACAAAAGTTTGAGGCATAATAACTCTGCTACTTTATTTTGTAGAATAGGACAGGGGAATGTCCATGTGATTGAGAGAGACTCTTAAGTAAAGTGAGGGAATGGAAAAAAAAACGCTAGGGCCAGCAGCTGGCATAATGGTTAAAATGCTGGACTCCCACATAGTGAACTGTAGTTACAGTCCTGGACCCATTGGCTTGGTCACACTGTGTGTGTGTGTGTGTGTGTGTGTGTGTGTGTGCATGCCTAAAATCCCTAGAGGAGAATGGGAGAGTAGAGATTGCAGGGTGACCATAGCCCTGGGGAGTGATTTCTCACTTTCTCTCTCTTGATTTTTCTCTCATCTCTCTACGGCAAGCACACATGCCCTATGGCAAAAAAAAAAAAAAAAACACTAAGGAAGACTAACATGAAAATGCTGATTATGATCCTTCATTGTGTATTCATTCAAAAGGCCTTTTATCCATTTTGTGATTTATATTATCACACACAGCAGCAGCTCAGTAAGGTGGGTGATATCCCTATTTTGCAGATCATATTTGATGCTCAGAGCGCTAAAGTAAAGCACATTAAACTGCTTTGATATTTGATCTGTTTTGGTTAAAGGACTTCCTTTGACTGAGATACTGTCATAGGGCTGAATTCATACCATTTAACTGCTCATAAAATGTTGCCTGACCACCATCTTAAGTTAGATACTTGAATATCATATTCCCTGCCTCATCCTTTCCTCATGTACACATAGCCTTTGAAATTGGCTAATCCTAGAGAACAAATCTAATCCCTTGCCAGATCCAGAAAGGCTCTATCGACATTACAGAAAATCCTACAAACATCATTGTTAAAAGTTTCAAGAAAATTCAACTTTGCCCTGACTGACTCACTTAAGTAATAGATAATAATAATTTATGCATTCAATTTACTACTGAAGCCCCAAGATTTCTGCTCATCTATTTTTGCCACCCACTGACATGTATTGTACTGTTTTTTTTCTGTTATTGTGTATGTTGTATTGTGTGTGTGTGTGTGTGTGTGTGTGTGTGTGTCTTTCCAGTTTGGAGACTACCAGGGACCACGTTTTGCCCATCGACTATTACTTCCCGCCCCAGAAGAGTAAGGTGGGTGATATCCCTATTTTGCAGATCATATTTGATGCTCAGAGCGCTAAAGTAAAGCACATTAAACTGCTTTGATATTTGATCTGTTTTGGTTAAAGGACTTCCTTTGACTGAGATACTGTCATAGGGCTGAATTCATACCATTTAACTGCTCTTAAAATGTTGCCTGACCACCATCTTAAGTTAGATACTTGAATATCATATTCCCTGCCTCATCCTTTCCTCATGTACACATAGCCTTTGAAATTGGCTAATCCTAGAGAACAAATCTAATCCCTTGCCAGATCCAGAAAGGCTCTATCGACATTACAGAAAATCCTACAAACATCATTGTTAAAAGTTTCAAGAAAATTCAACTTTGCCCTGACTGACTCACTTAAGTAATAGATAATAATAATTTATGCATTCAATTTACTACTGAAGACCAAAGATTTCTGCTCATCTATTTTTGCCACCCACTGACATGTATTGTACTGTTTTTTTTCTGTTATTGTGTATGTGTTGTATTGTGTGTGTGTGTGTGTGTGTGTGTGTGTGTGTCTTTCCAGTTTGGAGACTACCAGGGACCACGTTTTGCCCATCGACTATTACTTCCCGCCCCAGAAGACTTGCCTGATCTGTGGGGATGAAGCTTCTGGGTGTCACTATGGCGCGCTCACTTGTGGAAGCTGCAAAGTCTTCTTCAAAAGAGCTGCTGAAGGTAAAAGTCTTGTACAATCACTTCTATTTCTCATTTTCCGTTACCTTCCAGAGAGATATACCAACCTTCCAGGTCCCAGAATTTTATCATCTCAGATACAGGGTGATTTGAAGGGCCCTTCCAAAGAATCTATGAGCCTAAAGAAGCACGTTTTCATACTCCCTGCTCCCTGACTTTGGCAGCCTTTGTTGGACAGGCATTGTAGGCAATGAAGGTGTCTCAGCTAGTGCTTGGGGCTTGGTGGGTCCTAGGGATGAAAGAAAAATTAATGATGTAAAAATATTTCATTTTCTTCCTAATTGTTTTTCACTATGCTGCCTAGTGAGGGGAAAATGTCCTTATTAGACAGGTTAAAAGTGGAGAAACCCCAAGTAAGACCCCAGTCTATTCTCTTTGGTGAATATAAGACTGTTCATTAGCAAAGGCTTCCTGGCCTCAGCCCCAAAATGAAGTGTTCTCACTGTTCAGCAGACCATCAGTCTCTGCACCTGTTCCCTTTTGTTGCTGCCCCCTTGAGACATCTCTGAATTAATAGCTCCTAGGTAGGTGATGAAAATCACTTTTTTTTTTTTTTGAGAGGTTTTGCTATAGGGCACGTGTGCCTGCCAGAAAGAAAGAGAGAGACAGAGAGACAGAAAGCGAGAAATCACCCCCCAGGGGGGATGGCCACGCTGCTATCCCTTCTCCTCTTGGGATCTTGGGCACACACGCACACATGTTCGGCGTGAGTTTAAGCCACTGGGTCCAGGACTTGAACCGCAGTCGACTACATGGGAGTCCAACGACATAGCTATTACGCTAACTACTGGTCCCGATGAGAAACACTTTCATTCTCCTCTGCTGAGCCCTGCCCACAGGTCAAGTCCATTGGTTGAGAATCTCAAGCTAAGTAGCATCTAGTTAAATGAACTCAAGCTCTGTCACCTTCTTTCTATTTAGTTTAGAATAACTCATGTCTACTCAGCCCCCCAGAGGTGCTCAGCCTATATATTACAGCAAAAATTCACATTTCCAGACTTTTTCTGTATGCTAGTGACTCCCTCTTTCTTAATATCCCTGAGTTTACACCTCCTATTCATCCACTTCACTTCCCACTGTGTACCAAGGGCTTTCATCTCAAAGGGACACTGGTAAGCAGTCCCCAAACAGAGATCCTCTGGTCTACAACCAGACCCAGTTATTAAATAAGAGCATCTACCCTTTGCTCTCACTTTCCACAAGGAGGTACTTCCTGCCAAGGCTTTTATCCTTCCCTTTCAATATCATGACAGGGTTTAGTTCTAAGTCAGAACCAAGACAGAGAACCTTTCCTTATGTGAGGGCTATAAACCCTGAGGACAGTCTTCAAAGGCTATACCTTTTGCCAATAATATGCTGACACCCACCAGAGGACAGAAGAAATCCTGGAGAGTTCTTGACATTTAGAGAAAAGGTAAAAAATGAATGCCCTTTGATTGACCTCCTTATTTATATTCAATCATAATGATGATTGTAATTTCATCACTTTGGCTGAATGGGTAGCAGGATGCCTATGAGACAGAAAGCTGTCATTTTATTTTCTTCCCATCTGCACTGCAACAAGAAGGCTCCTAGCATTTGATATTACTGAAAACATGCTGTTTGCCCCACCCATATGCCTAAGAGACCCATGCATACGGGTCATGCCAGGCTAATATGAGGTCCAGGGCCCCAGTGCCTAGCCTACGCAGTTTAAAAAGACCCTGAGAGTAGAATAGCACCTTCCTTTCTTAAGAGCACTTGTAAATGGAGAGCTGACAGAAAAGGAAGTGAAGAGCAACTTCAGGGGCTTTAAATCACTCCACCTTCCCCAGTGAGACCCTGTTGCTTCCCCATACCCATCAGCCAGTAGGCAAAGAATGAACCAGATCACCCATCTAGAATTAGTGTGTCAGCAAGGCCAACCACTATGGTAAATAGCAGCCATATCTGATGGGAAAAGAGTTCAAGTGAGCTAGTGAACAAGCAAAGATATTAGATTATACTTGATGCTGCCTCTGGGTTTTACAAATCTGGGTCATCAAATTGCTTTCAGAAAACAGGGGAAATGGTCAACCATACTGTCAAAGGGAAGATTTTGTTGTATCAGATATCCCACATGAGAGTTTTCTGCAGAAGTTAAGCTAAAGGAGAAAGACAAGCATTAGGACAGCTGGGATGTCTGCATTGGAGTAGCTCTGCTATTACTCGAAGCCTGCAGTATTTGAGAATAGGGAAGAGAAGAAATGGGGACAGAGGAAGGAATCATCCAACCTACAGAACACATAGAAATACAGCAAGATCTCAAAATGCTCCAGAACCTAGAATCACTCCAGTTAGGGAAATTGAGTAATATATTTTCCTTGAGACAATGGGCTTCCTTGAGTTCATGAGGCCAAATCCTCTTGACCACTTGAAATACGAAATATCACAAATGAATTACTTGAAAAGCCATAGAGAGGGAATCATATGAGCCCTTGGTTACTTTAGAATATGTACCCAAGGGATCAGCAGTTAGCGTAATGGCTATGTTGCTGGACTCCCATGTAGTCGACCGTGGTTCGCATCCCGGAACGTGTGCGTGTGTGCCCAAGATCCCGAGAGGAGAATGGAGGAGAAGGGATTGTGGAGTGACCATCCCCGCTGGGGGGTGATTTCTCGCTTTCTATCTCTCTGTCTGGCGAGCGCATATGCCCTATAGCAAAAAAACCTCTCCAAAAAAAAAAAGAAAAAAAGAATATGTACCCCAGATTCCAGTCCTGAAACCTTTGAGGGGCAGGACTAGATGGTTGAGGAAATACACACACACACACACACACACACAATTATTAGTGTTTTCTTTCTCTTCACATCTGTAAAGCTGGGTGGTTTGAGTTTATTAATGTCATTATCCCTCTTTAAAGGCAGGAGTCTGTCTTACTACCTGAAGAGAATATTTATTGATTTATTTTCCCCATTTTTACAATGCACTCTTATCATTCAGATGGTCTTCGTGGTTCTTAATTAGTCTGTTGAAATCTGGAATTTCACTCGTCTTGGAGATACTAGAAGCACAAATCTTTCTCCTTTGTTGCTGTCAGTTCACTCAGACTGAGTATTCAGAGTATTAATTATCACTTTATTCATAGTTTCAGAAATCTCTGGACTAGGAAGTCTGGCATTCCAAAGAGAAATCCATTTCTATCTTTGGTGGTTCATAAAGTATGAGGTTTCACGGTTGTCAGTGGTGCAGGGCTCAACAGAGTCCATTGTAATCTGACCAGGTTTTCTTGTTTAGGAGGAAGTGTAGATAAGTTGCACATTTTCTCTTTGTCAATAATACTGAGCAGTCGGGGTGAGGGTTAGTTTGAGCAGGGAAGGATCTTTATATTTTTGAGGAAAAAAAAATGATAGTATAAGCCATGGGGGTAAAATCACTAAAATCTGATTGAGGAAAACAGAAAGACCAGGGGAAGGAAATTAGGGGTTGACCTGTGGGTTAAAAACAGGAGAAACAACTAGTTTGTGGCATAGATAGGTAGGTGAAGTGGTAAATGCAGAAGCATGTTGAACGCTGTCCTAGAGCCAGGAATTCAAAACAGGGTGAAGCCCATACAGAAAGGTAGAGACTAAGAGATGTTTTTGTTGTACAATATTAGATAATAAATTTCTCCTTTTGGATCTCAGTTTTCCCTGTTTGTAAAACAAGGGAGTTATAGATTTTAATTATTTTTAAAGAATTATTTATTTTATTTTATTTATTCATTATTATTTTTATTTTTAATTTGACGAGAGAGAGAGAGAAAGTGAAAAAGCAAGCCACCAGGTCTGGGACTCAAACCACATTCAGCCATGTGGGAGCCCAGTGCCTTAACCACCATGCGACTTTAAGAAAGGATCTTAATATATTGAAGTTATGCACAATGCCTGGTCTTTCTATGGTAGGTCAAGAATCAAACCCAGGCCTCTCATGTAACTTTGACCTGTAGTCTACCAACACAAGCTACCACAACTCAGCCAAACTAGATGTTCTTCCAGGTTACACTTTTTGTAACACAATTACAAATGTCATTGCCATTATTTCAGCAAATATACATGCATTCATACATGCATACCTGTATGCATTATTGGTTTTACCTTTATAGCAGATGGCAAACTCCAAATCTTAATAAAAACTAAATCTTCAGATAGGAATAGAGCCAGACGAGAGAGTGTACTGTGGGTGGACAGGGTTAAAACCCAACACTCTTGAGATTCTCTCTTGTGACTGTGGCTGGGTAACCTTTTTTCTTTTCCATTTTCTCCTAGAAAATCAGGATATAAATACCCATCTCTACCTCATCATGTTTCCAAAAGGGTTAATTAATTCATCATGTGCTTTATGTGCTCAGAAATTTACTATTTTTCAGACATTTTCTAGTAAAATGTTGGGGATTGTACATCCATTTGTTTTGTACACATGGAGCACTGTTTGGTATACATCATAAAATAGAAACTATAGTTTACATTTTGAACTCAAAGAATTACATCACCCTCACTGATGTTTACAATAGATCTCAATTTAGTTCCTTTGACAAATTTTATATGTGCCTCAAGTTTTTGTAAGGGAAGGAATGTTAAGTGAACCTTCGTTGAACTTTTTCTGTCATTTAAAT